GGGTGGGAAGGGGGCTTAGATGATGTAGCCCAACCATGAGCTCCTACCCTGTAGGCCCGGGGTGGAGCACAGGGCTCACCAGCTCCTGCCCCTCATCCATCCACCAGATGGACACCCACCTTACGTTCAACAGGGCTGGCCCCCTGCAGCAAGGCTGTGAGCAATGCCATGGCCTTGGTTTGCAGCTGCTGGTTCATCCTGGGACAAGAAGAGGCTCAACTGACCATCCAGCATCTGGCTCTGCTCCCCTCATCTGTACCCCACCCCTAGACACTTACACCTGCAGGTGCACCAGCAGCCTATCCAGTGGCACCTCACTCTTGACCAGCTGGCCCAGGGCAGGGCTGCTCAAGGTCACACTCTCTAGCAGCCTGAGGGCCAGGGGCTGCACAGATGCGTCCATCAGGTTCATGTTCACATAGCACACCACCTATAAGGGGGATAGAGGTTGTCATCACTTGACCTGTATGGATGGCCAGATCCTAACACCACCCCACTGCCCCTACCTGCTGTCCCTAGAAAAGCCCACCCACCTTCCTAACAAAGGGGATACTGAGTGTCTCCCATGACACCACGCCGTGCTCCATGAGCTCCAAGAAGACCTGCAATGCGAGGGCCAGCACCTCTCCTAGACTGGGGGGACATCTGGGGCTGAGCAGGGCCAGACCAGGACCCCCAGCCCCACCATGTCCACTACCCACCACAGCCCGATGCTCACTCGTCCCCTTCCTCAATGATGGTGCCTAGCTTCTGTAGCCCATCACGGCTGATGACCTCCTGGGCAAAGGTCATGTCTGGGGCCAACAGGACTAGGTGCTGCAGGGCTTCCCGGCGCCCTTCATGACTCCCACTCTGTAGCCCACCCAACAGCTGCTCAGCCTCAAGATCCTGGCAGGGGCAGGAGCGGAAGCAAAGGTAAGGAGGCTGGGTGGCGGTAAGGGGCGGGAACTGGAGGTGTGGGGACCTGGGTGTCCACTAGGTGGAGCACTCCAAGGATGTGACTGGGGCCTCCAGACCTGGGGCAGACAGAGGCACAGGGGAGCAGAAAGAAGACAGAGCAGTGGGGCAGGGAATGAGGGTGGGGCCAGGAGGGGCATTACTGGGGCAGTGCTGAGGCACAGTATGCTGCCATTCTTGATCTCTGAGCGGTTCTGGAGAAGACAGAAAAGAGAGAAGTCAAGAAGAGCTCTGAGGATTGGTTAATTGGGGTTATCAATTAGAAAGGATTTGGAACTCAGTGAAAGGTCACTGAGGATGAGGAGTCTGAGGAATCAGGGTCAGGAATCAGGAATTAGACGGGGCTAAAGGGGAGAGGGGACTCACATTCTCAGTGATGTATCTCCTGTGCCCATCAGCAAACTGCAGGGCATAGCGCTCAGAGTGAGCCAGGCTCCACCTGCGGGCAGAAGCAGCTCAGTGAGGCAGGTAAGGGGAGCCCCCTCCCTCCTGCCCTTCCCTCACCCCACAGCCTGCCAGGCCCGCACTCACGCGTCGCACACCTCCTTCAGCACAGCAGCCAGGGGCTTTGCCTGCAAGTCAAGAGGTCACTCACAGGGATAGGAGTGGGGAGGAGTTGGGGAAGAACCTGGGGAATGGGTAGGGTGGGCTGTTCCCAGGGGAATGGGGCAACCCAGAGGTGGGCAGTGGGGTGGATGTTGGCCGGACAGGCCGGGTGACCTGGTCCAGCTGGATGAGCTGCGGGATGGCGTCACGCTTCTGAACGGCGATCTTCACCACATCCCGTGGGGGCGCCATGGCCCAGCTGGGGCTGGATGCCTGTGCCTTCCAAACCTTGCAACCTCCTACCGAGGGCGTACGGGGCCTGGGCCCCTGAGGGCAATGAGGGCGTCCGTCTGTCCGCGACCTGACGCCAGGGGCCCTCACTCACTCACTGCCCAGGCACCCACTCCTGGCCAGGCGCTGCGGCCTTCCCCAGGGAGCCGGGAGCCGAGGTTAGTTCCGGGTTGGAGTCCTGGGGTAGGACGGCGCCTGCCCTGTCCCGCCCCGAAGGGGCGGCTCCGCCCCCAAAAAGGCTACCCCGCCCCGTCCCAAGGTGCGGCAGGTAGGGGCT